CTCCAAGATTAGGGATTATGCTACTGTCAGTTAGAATTTGCTCACTGGAGACTTCTCAGGAGAAAAAGAACTAGAGATACAAAACTAAACTTTCCTGATTTAGCAGTTACGTCAAACGCACTGAAAATGCCCTCCAGGAAGAACAGCATTGCATTCAGAGACTGAGTTCAGAAACCTCAAAGGCCAGGAGGGAGCAGGCGGGGAATAACCACCCTCCAGCGCCAACCTGTGACACACTCCGTTTCAGCTCACAGGATGTGCGAGCCTGAAGCTATTAATCTTTAGAAATGAAGTGGGAATAAACGAACGTCTTGTTTATAATTGCGTCTCTCAGCCAAAAGAACGATCACTGTGGATCTGATCTAAACCCAGAGCGATCGCCTTGCCTCAGAACTGAAGTCACGTCACGGGCTTAGAGTCAGTTCCCATATACCAGGTGAGAAGTGCTGGGGAAAATGACTCAGTGCCTCTGAGACTCAGTCTCCGCATCCTCAAAATGGGATGTGGAAGGACCAAACCAAACCCAGGCCAACTCCAACCCGTGTGACCCGTGCGTTAGAGAGCAGACTTATCAACAGGCTTTCCCTGACTGATCTTTATGTAAGCTGATTGCCAGACCTTGCTTCCACGGAGCCATTGTGGGTGGGTGCAAAACACCAACCTTTGGTGAGCAGTAAAACAAAAGTCATTTGCACCCCTCATTTTATAACCCAGGCAAGGGTTTATAAAAGAACTATGCAGGGTGAGCTCTGGTGGCTTAGTGGCAAGAAGCTGCACTGCAATCCCAGAGGTGCGCAGTTCAAATCCACCAGATACTCTGCTGAAGAAGGAGGAACAATCGCCTCCTGTACCAGTCAGATCCGATTTGATGGTACACACATAAAAATAATAATAATAATTATAAAAAAGAACTATGCCGTACAGCTTTCAAAATTAATAAGGCCCAGCTCTTTATCATACACACCCAGTCAATAAAATGAAATGTTGACTATTTTATCCCAATAAATATAATGTTTTATATAAAATTATATCTTTATCCCAATAAATATAATGTTATATAAACATAATGTTTCATTATAAAAGCAGTACAGATTCATGAAGGAAAAGAGAAATCAAATGAGTAGAAAACGCTGAATCAGTCTTATAATTCCACTAACAAGATCCAATCAGTGTGAACATTTAAGAGAATTGCCCCCGTCTTTGTTTCAGTTCCCTTTTGTACATATTTTTAACATGATTGTATCTCTAACATGTAAAACCTTGTATCCTGCTTTTTAAAAGCACAATCCTAGTAAATACCAGATTTACAGGGCATAATGTTCTGTTCATGGTTTACTCAATCTGCTGCTGTCGTTACAAAAGATTCAGGGTAATGAGAAAAAGGTAGCTCCTGGATTTGGATTTGCCATCTTCTGCCAAAGGAAGGGAGGGCACTCGAAAAACTAATGATCAGGGTGGTTGTGTCTCTTCCCCCACCCTCAAGGCAGTCACACGGTCACTAACAGCCAGGACGTGCCTGTGAGCTATAAAGCATGCATAAAGGGGAGAGAAACCCAACAAACCCAGGAAGCCAGAGTGCTCACTGAAAGCCACAATGACGAACTGTGTCTCACAAACTTCAGGCACGTTGTGAGGAGGGACCAGCCTTTGGGAGAAGGATATCATGCTTGGCAAAGCAGAGGGTCCGTGTAAGAGGATCCCCAATGAGATGGATTGACCCGATGACCGTAACAACGGACTCTTGTATGTCAGAGACGGGGAGGCTGGCACAGGATAGGGCAGGGCTCTTTGTTTACAAGGTCACAGGGAAACACAGGCTCCACGGCACGTAACAACAACTGCCAGGTGCTTCTGACTCACAGGGCAGCCGTGCGTTACAGACCAGAACTGCTCCATAGATTGCTATAAGGTCTGCCGTCCTCACACCAGGTCACCGTGTGAAGTGGCTCTGTGTCTGGCCTGCCTTCCAGCACTAATATAAAAAGGAGTCCTGGTCGCACAGTGAGTGAGCATTTGGCTGCCAACAAGAAGATTAGTAGTGACTCCAATATACCACCTACTTGGCTGGTGGGGAAAAAAGGAGAGGCACTCTACCAGAGAGAACAGAGCCTCTACTCTTCATTCCTATGTATAGAGCAAACCTGTGGGACTGTTCTACTCTGCTGGTAGGGTGACTGCGAACTTCAACACATCAGATATGGTTTGGGTTTCACTAACCCCCAAACCACGAACTCTAATGGTAAGGAGCTGCGCTGCCATCCCAAAGGTATGTGGTTCAAGCCCACCAGCTGCCCCACAGGAGATAGAGGGGCAATCTACGCCCACTCAATTAAACTGCTTCTGAAAACCTGCTGGAGGATCAGCTATGGCTTGGTTCTGACTCGACAGTACACAACAACAACAACCTGACAGTTCAAACCACCCCGCAATGCACTGTGGAAGAAAGGGCCTGGCAGTCTATGAAGATTACCGCTGAGAAAACCCTATGAAGCACAATTCCATTGCGTAATGTGTGGAGTCACCAGGAGGCAGCATCAACTTGACAGCAGAGCGGTTTGGGGCTGGAATGTTGATGGATGTTGACCCCAGGTCTTTGCCCTGTGGCACTTTACGGTGGGTTCATCAGTTTAGAGATTAGCAGCAGATTCCAAAGCACTAATGCCACTCAGGGACCTAAAAGCTTGTACCCAAAGCCCAGGGCCATTGAGCCAATTCTGACAAATGGTGTCCCCTAAGAGCCAGGTAAAGGAACCCCAACAGGAGCCGCTAGGCAGATGACTGGGGGGGGGGGGAGGTGCAACAGGACCAGCTCATTCAGCATATGCTCAGAAATGCCAAACAATGGAATTTTGTTCAAAATTTTGGGGGTGCAGTTTCCTGAGTCTGACTTAGACCCTGATTTGGCAGAATTAAGGAGTTTGCCCCTCCCAGTTTGTCCCTGTCCTGGTTCTGAGGAGATGATCCTTGACTGAAGCCTCAGAAAACCCGGCATGGCTCCCAGCTCCGTCGTGGCAGCTGCTTCTCCAGCCTGAGTCCCCCCCGACCCCCCGAAAGCCAGGGCCCCTGCAGCTGTCACCACTGCCAGGGGCATGAGACGGTGTGCAGGCATCTCCTCTGAGTGGATGAAAGGGCCAGCCAGAGTCATCCTCCCATGACAAAACTCCTCAGTTTATGGCCTGAGGAAGGAGTTCTTTACTAACTGAATGGCTGACAGTTTGCACTCACCCCGTGACTCCCTTTGTAATCTGGTAAAGGTCATAGCCCAGAAAACGCTGCAGGGCGGTTCTGCTCTGTTACAGTTTCTGTAACCCAGAGGATTGCCGTGGCTTCGGTGTCCTGCCAGCAACATGGCCTGAGGAACAGGCTCATTGTAATGGCAGAAGAACTTAGACTCGCTCAGCATGTTCTTAGCCATAGTTTAAACTGCCTTGTTATAATTGACGCCCAGAAAAAAGCAAGGTTACCTTTCCGAGGCTACTTAGATGGGTGTAAGCCTCAGACTACGTGCAAACTTGCCTCTCTGATCTGAAGGACTCTCCTTGCGCTGTGGCTGGGCACACCAGAGTCTTCCTCTGAGTCCAGGGAGGGGACCCAGATGGCTTTGCTGACCATCTTGTTCCTACCGACCTCACAGACAGCAGAGCCATGCCGAGACCCTCTGTGTCACTGTCACCTTCTTCTTAACCCTCCACAGCCCAGCCCTGCCCAGTGCTCACCAGGACAGCTCAGCACTGGTCAAAGGCACCTGCTGAATCCTAAAGGTCCTAGAGGAACAGAGCCTGGGCCAGACTTGGCACCAGTGACAGCTGGGGCAGCCAAGAGACAAAGGGCTGAATGATTCCCAAGCAAACAGGAATCCGTTCCCTTCTGGATCCGGATAGCTGGGGTTCCTCTGCCAAGCAGAGTTTGGCCGGAAACGGCAACAAACAAGGGAGAAACTTGAGCAAAACTGGAGTCAGAGGGGCCTGTGACCTCTGGTCTGATGGGTCTGCCTTCTGAGTGAAGGGTGGTGAGAACCACCTAGGCAGGTTTCACTGACACCTCCCGTCCCACCAGTCACTACTTACATGACGACCAGAGCAGCGTCTCGGGAGTAGTCCAGCAGAATCTCATTCAGTCTCACCTGGCGGAAGGACTAAGACGAGGACAGGAGGCGGTCACTCTCCACAGCCTCACAGAGGTCCCCTGTCAAACCACCCGGACTGGATACGTGAGTGAGTCTCTCAGTGTGGTGCAGCTCTGGTGGCCCGGTGCAGGGGGAGTTACGCCGCTCGCCCAAAGGTGGTGCCTCGCTGGTGGTTCAAGAAAGGCTGGTGGTTCGAATCTACCAGCTAGCTGTCTCGGGGAGAATGATGAGGCTGTGTGCTTCTGTCAAGATTACACTTCTGGAAACTTTATGATTCTACTCTGTCCTGTCAGGGCACCAGGAATCAGAATTGACTTGAAGGTCACAAGTTTGGTTTGGTTTTGGGGGTATTTTGTTCCAGCCAGCACCAGGACATTGGAAGAAAGGGGATCCTTGGTGTTCTACAGCTGGGAGAACACTCTGCCTCTCTGAGCCTCAGTGCCTCATCTGTAAAATGGGCTTGACATCAAACCACAGCGGCCCTGGGGAGGGGGCGGGGGGACTGAGGAGGATCAGAAGAGACAGTCTATGTAGAAGCACCAAGCACAGGGCCCAAGGAAGAAGATGTGAAGGGGGAAGGCCTCGGGGCAGGAGCGGGACACCGCACTTTCTGTGCAGAAGGATATGTGAAGAGTCATCTTTGGTCACTGCTGGTTATGTAGCATTTTCCAGGATGGTTTGAGTCCTTTAGGGCAAAGTCTCCAGGCTCACAAAACAGGGAATTCACTAAAGCTTGTACAAGGCCCTTGGGAAGGAGGCTCCCTCTTACCCCAAGGCCCATCTCCAAGTTCAGAACTTATTTACCCCTGGAATCTAACCCTGGCTGGACACCTCCAATGTAGAAGAGAAAACTGAGGGGAAGTGAGTTGCTTTAATGTGGTGTACCATCGAGTCGGAGCCAACCCACAGTTGATCCTCTGGTGTCACATGGGAGGAGATTGCCCATCTTTCTCCCTCAGAGCAGCTGGTGGATTCGAACCATGTGCCTTCAGGATTGCAGCGCAGATTCTTACCACTAGGACACCAGAGCTCCCTTAATGTAGAGGTTCAAAATCTCACGCTATTGACATTTGGGGCTGGATTGTTCTTGGAGGAGGCCTATCAGCAGGAGAAGCATCCACTTCCTAAACAACATGCCTCCGGAAACCATGGACTTTGATAAATGTCGATGGTTGTAGAGGGGCTTCAGGGCTTTTGTTCATAGGGTCGCTATGAGTCGTGCTCTACTTGAAGGCAATCAACAACATACTAGGCATTGTAGAAGGTTCAGCAGCATCCCTGGCTTCTACACTACATTCCTGTAGTATTCTCCTCCTCAAAGTTATCACAGTCAATGTCAATGTCTTCAGACATTGCTACGTGTCCTTTGGGTGGTGGGAGGCAACATTGTCCCAGTGGAGAGACAATGACCCAGAGTCCACAACTGCAGAGCTGGGACCTCGCTCCCCGTACCCCTGCAGAGGGTCCCTCACCTCCTCGGCCACATCAGTTACTTCAGGAAGCACTTCCTCACCCCCATCCTCCCTTAACCCTTCCTAGAAAGGAGGATGTGGTTTCAGGTCTAGGGTGGAGTCAGTGGATTAAAGAAGCTTCTGGAAAGAGCCTGGTGGTATACCTGAGACTCCTGCAGGTCAGCCAGCGTCCTTTCCTCAGGATAAATTATACCTAATTGACTACTTTTCTCCCTAATCTCTGTCAGCAGAGGCTTGGGGACCGAGGTGAGAATGAGACAATCTCCAGCAGGGGCCTCCACGCACAATGGCAAGCTGACCTCTGGGTTACAGCTGGCCCAGAGGACACCTCTGAGGCTGGAAGGGGTGGTGTGGGCAGGGGCTAAGGAAGCTTAGGACCAGGGGGACTTACAGGCCCTGATCTGGAGCACCTTGAACCCATCCCACCGCAGGAAGACCCCCTGTTCAGCACCTTGATTCTATTCCTGTTGATCTCTTCATCCGAGATCTTCCAGGGACAGTCCCGCCTCAGTTCAGCGACTGTGGCCTCGTCTTTGAAGCCATCGTTCAGACGGAAGGGTGCAATCATGTCTTCAAAGCGCTTGATGCTGGGAACAGAGGGAAGAGTGAGGCTGTAAATGGGCCAGTTTCAGGGGAACCCACTCTCAGGAGGGGCTGGAGGGAGGTGCCGCAGGGACAGCATTTCAGGAGAAACCAATGTGAGCTGCAACTTACTTCAGAGGAGCTTTTGAATTGTCCCTTACCACTGGGGGACACACACACACACACACACACACACACTCTTACATGCCAGGGTCCCTGGTTGATGCAGATGTTCTACACTCAGCTCTTTTTTAAAAAAAATTATTATTAATTACAATGAAAATTTACAGAGACTTTGGATTTCCATTCATTCATTGTTGCACTTTTTTTCCCCTCCCAACCCTCCCCCCCAGTACACTACTTTCCTGGAAAAGCAAAAGAAAAATTCCTTCATTGTTTTACAATCCCTCCCCCAGGTCCACTCCGCTATGCAGCCTTCGCTCTGGACTCCTGTTGTGACAAAAATACCCAATCACATATCCCTTTTAAACAGTTTCCTCCCTCTTCTGTTTCAGTGCAGTATACATTACTGAACCGATCTTTCTCAGTCTCCCCCCAACCCTGAGGTCCGTCCTGTTTCACAACAGTGGCACCATGCAGTATTTGTCTTTTGTGACTGAGATACTTCACTCAGCATAATGTCCTCCAGGGTCACCCATTTTGAATAATATTGCATGAGCTCCTTGTTTTTCAATGCAGCGTAGTATTCCATTGTGTGAATATACCACAGCTTCTCTCTCCATTCGTTTTTTGATGGGCACCTGGGTTGTTTCCAGCTCCTTGCTATTGTGAACAAAGCTGCAGTAAACATGGGTGTGCATTACACTCAGTTCTAATCAAAAGGAGTGGCAGTCAGTTAAAATTGATCCAGTGGTAAAGGAAGGCTTATTCATATGCTGCCCTATGGTTTAAATCTTCTATGAAGCTGTTCTACCTGTAATAATTTGTGGGCTCACCATGACTAGGAATCCACTTGGTGGTAACAGGTTTGAAATTTTGGTTATTTTTTTTTATGGTTGCTAGATTTTTTTGTTTGGTGTTGGCCAGGGTTTATTATTATTACTTCAGTGCAGGCTGGAGAAGGTCATGCTATCAGCATGCTGCAAAGGTAGACCAGATGCATAAAAGGAAAAGGTTGACCCCATCAGTGAGGAGTAAAGGTGAATCTGAGGAAGCCCCTGATGGGCAGAGGGATAGAGGGCATCTGGGTGGTGAGGACAGCCTGAGCGGCCAGCGTGCTAACCTCATCAACGTCTTGGACAGCCTGAGTGGCCAGCGTGCTAACTTCATCAGCATCTCGTCTCTCAATCACTTGCTGTAGAGTTGATTCGACTCACAGAAACCCCATGTGTGTTGGAACAGACCTGTGCCCTGGAGGGATCTCACGACTGATTTTAAAAAAGGAGGTTGCTAGTCTTTCCTCCATGACCCTCTAGGTGAGTGTCAATGTCAATTTTTTATTATTGTTGTTGTTGAGTGCCATTGAATACATCCATAGCGATCTTACCAACAACAATTCTGAAGCCCATCCTATCCTGTGCCATCCTCACACTTCCTGACCTGACTGAGGGTCTTCCTCTCTTCGGCTCACCTGCTGCCTTCCCAAGCATCATGTCCCTCCTCGGGGAATGAACTCCTCTTAACAACATGCCCGTAGTAAGTGAGATGAAGCCTCATCATCTTTGCCTCCAAGGAGCACCCTGGATGCACCTTCTCCAAGACGTATCTGTTCTTTTGGCAGTCAGTGGGATATTCAATACTCTCATCTAATACCAAAGCTCAAAGGTATCAATTCTTCTTCTGTCATCTTTATTCATTGTCCAGCTCTCAGATACATAGCTAGTGATCAGAGAGACTATGACCTGAATCAGATGCACTTTAATTCTCAAGCTGACATCACTGCTCCTCAGTAATTTGGAGAGGTCCCTGATTGCGGACTTCTCCAATGCAATACATCTTCTGATCTCTTGACTGCTGGTACCAAGGGTGTTGATTGTGGACTTGAGTAAGTAAGATGAAGTTGTTGACAGTTTCAATCTTTTCTCCATCTATCACGATGTTACCTATAGGTCCAGTGTTAAGAATTTCCATTTTCTTTTCTTTTTTAAAAAATTTTATTTTATTTTTTATTTTTGTGTGAGTGTACCGTCAAATCAGATCTGACCGGTACAGGAGGAGATTGTCCCTCCTTCCCCGGCAGAGCATCTGGTGGAATCAAACCGTGCACCTCTGGGATTGTAGTTGCAGCTCCTTGCCACTAGGCCACCAGAGCTCCCCTAAGAATTTCCATTTTCTTGACATTGCAATGCAATCCATATTGAAGGCTGCATTCTTTGATTTCTGTAGTAAGCACTTCAAGTCCTCACTTTCAGCGAGCAAGGTTGTGTCATCTGCACAATGCAGGTTATTGATGATTCTTCCTCTGATCTTGATGCCACATTCTTCTTAAAAGATTTCAGCTTCTTGAATAATTTGCTCAGCATACAGATTGAATCAGTATGGAGAGAGAATAATACAGCCCTGACACATTCCTTTCTTAATTTTAAACCCATGCTCTGTTTGCATAACATCCAAACAGAGCTTGGTCTAGGTGTAGGTTTCACATGAGCACGATAATGTGTTCTAGGATTCCCATTCTTCTTAATGTTAGCAATAACTTGTTGTGAGCCACTCAGTCAAGTCTCTTTGCATAGGCAATAAATAATAGGCATTCTTCAAGTAGTCTTTACGTTCAGCCAGGATCCATCTGATATCAGCAATGATAACCCTGGTGCCACGCCTCTTCTAACTTCTGTTTGAACTTCTGGCAGTTCCTTATCTATGTACTTGCCCCAGCTGTTTTTGAATGGTCTTCAGCAGTATTTTGCTTACATGTGATATTAATGATATTGTTCAATAGTTTTTACATTCTGTTGGATCACCTTTCTTGGGAATGGAAACAAATATGGATTTCTTCCAATCAGTTTGCCAATCAGTTTGGCCAATCTTCCAATCAGTTTGGAGGACAACTGTCCTCCAAACTTCCTGGCATAGACTGGTGAATGTATGGAGAGCCCACCACTGCCACTCAATGCCATCCTTGCATTGACGCATTGGGGAAGTTCGCTGTCTGTCAAAAACCCCTCCAATGCACACCCATGTTTATTGCGGCTTTGCTCACAATAGCAAAGAGTTGGAAACAACCTAAGTACCCATTAACAAATGAATGGATTGAGAAGCTCTGGTATCTTCACACAATGGAATACTACACTGCATTGAAAAACAAGGAACTCATGAAATATTATACAAAATGGGCTATCCTGGAAGACATTATGCTGAGTGAAATATCTCAGTCACAAAAGGACAAATACTTCATCGTGCCACTGTTGTAAAACGGGACTGACATTGGTGCTCAGGGGAGCCTGAGAAAGATGGGATAAATTATGTATACTGCATTGAAACAGATGAGAGAGAGAACTGTTTAAAAGGGACATACAATTGGGTATTATTGTCATGACAGGAGTCCAGAATGAAGGCTGCATAGTGGAGTGGTCTTGGGGGGAGGGATTATATAACAGTGAAAGAATTTTTCCTTTGCTTTCGAAGAGAAGAGCAAACTTGGCGGGAGAGGTGGGCAAGAAGAAAAGTGCAACAATGAATGAATGGAAACCCTAAGTCTCTGTAAACTTTCACTAAAATTAATAATAAAAAAAGGGGGGGGAGAAACCACTAAAAAACCAAAACAAAACAAAACACCTCTCCAAAGTTCTAAAGAACAAGGATGTCCGTTTAAAGACTAAGATGTACTTGACCCCAGCCATGGCCCTTCCAATTGCTTCCTGTGTAAATATATATCTGAAAGTGGGGCAGTGAATAAAGAAGAGTGAAGGAGAATCGATGCCTTTGAAGTGTGGTGCTGGAGAAGAGCACAGGATATCCCATGGGCTTGCAAAAGACCAAACGAATCTGTCCTGAAAGAAGTACAACCAGAGCACTCCTTACAGACAAGGATGGCAAGGCTTTATCTCACTTACGTTAGAGGTAGTCTCAGGAGGAACCAATCATTATAAAAGGACATCACGCTGGTTAAGGTGAAGGGTCAAATAAAGAGAGGAAGACCCTCAACCAGGTGGACTGCCACAGTGACTGCTGCAATGGGCTCTACTGTGTCAGGACGTGAGGATGGCGCAGGACAGGACACGGTTCAGATGGATTGTTCACAGGGTTGCTGTGGGTCTTACTCGACTCGATAGCACCTAACAACAACAATAACAACAACAACACAGATTGCTGTGGAGTCGACTCCGAGCTCAACAACACGAAGAATGGCCTGCAGTCATTCATCAGCCTTTAAGGCCAGGAGCGTTTCCAGATATGCACCAGAGCAGAGGGTGTTATGTTATGTGCCATCGATTCGCTTGTGACTCATAGCGACCCTATGTACAACAGTCCTAAACTCTGCTCTGTCCTGTGCCAATCGCACTGTCTCTGACACTCCCATCCCAATTTCCCAGTCACTGAATCAATCCACCTCATAGAGGGCCTTCCTCTCCTGCGCTGTCCCTCCACCCTCCCAAGCATGATGTCCTTCCCCAAGGACCGGTCTCTCCTCACATGTCCAAAGAATGTTAGACGGAGCCCCAGAATCCTTGCCTCCAAGGAGCCACCCGGTTTAAGCCTTTCCAGGATGAATCTGTTTGATTTCCTAGCAGAGCAGAGGGTAGGGAGCAGAAAACCCAAACATGAACGTAAACAGCTACAACTCTCTGTCTCTTCCTCTCTCTCCCAAGTGGCACTGGCTGAAGGAGGGGAGAAGGGGAGAGCCTTTTTTCTCAGCTCATCAGAGAGAAAGGAGACAACAGTAGCAAGGCGACAGGATGCACAGCTGACCCTTCCTCCCGGAACCCCCAGCCCAAAGAACTCACTGCTCAGCTCTCGGCTTCTGGTTGATGTCAGGAAGGACGTGGACTTCGTGGAACCCCAGGCGGAACTTGCTCAGGAGAGAAATGATCCTGGAAGGCAGGTGGAGATGTTGAAAATGTTCTCATGTGGTCATTCCTTGAATATTAATTAAATACCTGCTGAAAACATAGGCTTGCGCCAAATGGACCAAAAAGAAGGAAGGAGAAACAGCTTGTCCTCGTGGAGTTTATGCTCTACTGTCTGGTGGAGGAAGTACAAACACTGAGTAAAGCTGGTCAGATGAGGATAGTGCCTTAGGGGAAGGTAACTGGCCAGGAATAAAAATGCAATCCCTGGATTGCGCCAACAGAAAGACACTAAATGCCAACCGGTGTTTCCCAAGTGTCTGGTGAGCAAAAGCGCACCACGAATGAAGCCAGCTGCCACAGAGTCACCTCTGATCTGGTGGCCCTGTGCGTTGCCAGGGCTTTCTTCTGTGGGGCCTCTGGGTGGGTCCTGACTTGCAGTCTTCCAGTTAGCAACCAACACCTTGACTGTTTGCATCACCCAGGGGCTCCTACATCCATCTCAGGCCACCCCAAACCTGCCTCTATCTAGCCAATCCCACCTCCTAGAACCCTCTGAGAGCAAAGGCCTCTCAGGTTTCCACGCTGGGATCTTTATGCGAGCGGACGGCTGTTACCTCTTCTCCCACGCGGAAGCTGAATACTAAAACAGCAGTGTAGTAAAACCATCAACCCGTGGTTTGGACAGTTTAGCCCTTGACCACTGTGCTGTGGCCACACTCCACCCAAGCCAAATGCACTGCAATCACGTTGAGTCTGACTCACTGTTTACCTGTCAGCTTTCTGAGCCTGGACATTTTTACAGGAAGGAACTGGTCCTCTTTCTCCTCAAAGAGTCATCGGTGAATTCGAACCGCTGACCTTCCAGTAGCAGCCCTGTGCCACGGAGCTTCTTACAGTGAGTTTCTCTCTCTAGCGCCCCACCCTCCTCCTCCACTTTCTCCTCCTCTTCCTGCCATCAAGTCAGAATTGACTCCTAGTTTACCCTTCATTGGGTTTCCACGGCTGTAAATGACACGGAAGGAGGTGACCCATCCTCTTCCTCCTCCCACGGCGCTGCTGGTGGATTAGAACCGTCGACAGACTTGCCCTACTCCCTGTGGACGATACCCCCACAGCCCCCTATAGCCATACTAATATTATCCACATTTTGATGTGTCTACACATTGACAGAGGTTCTTGCAACCGGGTGGATTCTGAGCCAGTCGGTCTGGGGCGAAGACTTGGACTCTTCATTTCTAACAAGCTTCTGCACACAGATGATACTTAGGGTAGCCAAGGTCTAAGGGATGGGCAGGTTGAAATAAAGGAAATTGCTGAGCACTAAATTAAGCTTGGAAGCAGGAGTGGCATCCACTTCCGTAATAGCTTGCCTCCTGAAACCCTATGAACCTGGAGAGAGGATGAAGTGTTGAGGACTCTCCTTCATAGGGTCACTATGAGTCACCTGCTACTCGACAGCACTTAACAACAACAACAACAATGGAAAAGGAGACAGCGCTCACTCCTGAAACAAGCACAGAGCCATGAACAGGTGGTGCTGACTCTGGGTCCAACAGAGCAGAGCTGGGGGAGCCATCTGTGGTTTGGTGCAGTCACAGAAGGCTTCAAGGAGGAGGTTCTGGCTGAACGGTCCACGTAGGTAAGACTGTTACAGACCAAGAGTTCTTGGGGTGCAGGGTACTCACACCAAAACCACCCAACTTAGTCACTCATTGCTGCTCAGAGCCGACTCATAGCTGGTTGAACCTTGGGTCTCTGAGGCTGTAAAACATGCCAGAGGAGAGAGCTCCCTGTTCTCCTTCGGAGTCATCATTGGTGGATTCCACCCGCTAGAGAGATGCAGCCCTTGGGACTCTGCTACCAGAGCGCCCTGGAATCACCCAAGGAGTCTTCAAAACGGTATATACATGCTTTGGCCCTTGGGCCTGGCAGGCTCACACTGGCCCTGGAGATTCTGCTTGTTGGAGACAGAAGGCAGCCCAGAGAGAGGAGGCCAGAGGAGTCAAGAGCTGTGGGGGCCTGGGCAGAGCAGGATTGTGACCGAGCTGGCTTTGACGGAGTACAGCATGCAGGGGCCATCTGCTCGGACGGCCAGGCTGGGCCGAGCATAGTAAGCACTGCACAGAGGTCAGTGGGCTCGTCAGCAGTGGAGCTGGCTCCTGAGCTTCAATACTGAAATGTCAAAAGCAGAGCCCTGGGCAGTCTCTTCTCGCTGTGCAGTGCTGGAGGTCAGCAGGCCTGACCCGAGGGCCACAAAGAGAACAGACGTGGGCTGTTGAGAAGCACTTAGAGGGCTGACCCGAGGGCCACAAGGAGAACAGACCTGGGCTGTTGAGAGGCACCACGAGCAGAGAGGGCAGAGCCACAGTGCTCACAAACCAGCACGGAGCACATTCCATTCCCCAAACGAAGCCTGCTGAACGAGCCTGGCCTCAGAGCTGGCCCTGGAAACCCCGCAAACAAAGCAGCCTTTGCAGTTTATTTGCTTTTAGATCGCAGAGAAGTTAGCTGCTGTGTCCTCCCCCCAACAATACTCCTCAGCACACAGAAAGGGGGTGAAGACAGAGATGAGGCTACAGCGGGGGGTCCTGACCTAGGACTAGGTTGGGGAGAGTACTGAGGGCTGGGCAGCCTCTTCCAAGGCTGGGGCACGTGGCTGGATCTGTTACAGAGGAAGGTGGACACCGCAAAAGATGCCACCCCTGTTGCTAATTATAACCCAGTGACCTTGGGCAGGTCTCCTGGCTTTCCCAATCAGTATGCACACACCTGCAACTCCCTCAGCTCTGGCTTCCTCCAGTCACCTTTGACCTCACACGGGCTTGATCTAAAATTGCAGTTATCCAAATCCAGGCGCACACGTGCCACCTACCCGCCTCCTGACTGTCACGTGCATGTGTCACCTCTGTACTCACTCCCTCTTCAAGCCAGCTCACAGGCTTGCTTAAATTTCAAAGGCGAGCTCTGTATCATATTTAAAACCAAAAGTCAGTCTCTTCTGCCAGAAGGGGGTAAGATAAAACCCATGTAAATAAACCCCTGTGACTAAGTCCTGGCTGGACGCTCCTTGCCGGCCAGCCTTCGATCCTAGACCTGCAAACGGGAGATTAGCCTGCGTTACTCAATAGAGACACAAACCCCACTGCCTTCAAGTCACTTCCGGCTCACAGCACACTCCATCCGCTTCCCAAGGTGGAAATCTTTACGAGATGACACTGCCCATCTTTCTCACACAGAGCAGCTGGTGGATTTGAACAGCTGACTTTTTGGTTATTTAACGCTAAGACGCTAGGTCAACAGAGCTCCCTTGCAGAAAGACAGGCCAGTGCTAAACAGCCTTTCACCTGAGTTAATCACAAAACAATGCTAATTGAAGGCATTAGAAGGCACAACCTCCATGGTATCTGAGTGGTACAAACCAGCAAGATACTCATCAGCTGAGGCTGGAGTTTACCCAGAGGCACCTTGGAAGAAAGACCTGGCAATCTACTAAAAAAACAGCCCATAAAAACCCTCTGGTGACAGTTCTTCACAACAGGCAGTTCTCATTCGCCTGGAGGCAAAGTTTTGAAATGAGACTGAAAGGAGGACCTCTACGGCCCCTCAGAGAGGACAGAAAAGAAAAATCTTTCTAACGCCGAGCGTCCTGCAACTGCCCAGAGCTTCGCTGTGCTCTGGAGAGAGGGAGGCGCTGGGGTGCCGGCACACTGCCTGGGTGCACCTGGCGTGGAGGGAGCTGGGGCAGGTCAGCTGGTCTCTGTACTGGTCATCCGCACTCACGCCTTTCTCTCCTGGTCCAGCCTGTTGATCTGACCCCCAACAAACACGCGGATCTTGCACTTGTTCCACCTCTTCTTGCGGCCGAGGAGATAGGGAATGAGGAGGGTGAGGCCTAGGAGGAGAGTCTGCGTGAGGGCGAGCCCTCACTGGCACCCACATTCCCACCCTGCTCTGCCACCAGCAACTCCCTTCCCTTCTCAGAGCTTCCGTTTTCCCGTCTGTAGAACGAGGCTGCAGCTTAAGCCAGAGTGTGCGGGCTGGGCCTTACTCGGTCTGTGCCATGCGTTTAAATAAACGAGCTTGCATTTAATAGAGTTGGGGTTTCGCTGGCATGTCTTCAAGACTGAAAATGTAGCCACTGACAGGAGGCCTATCTCTCCGTGTCGTTGCTCCCCACGAGGACAAGCACTAGCAGCCCATGATTGTGTCGTGTGCTGAGTCTCAGGGACCCCTATCTCCCAGGACAGAGTAGAGCTGCCCCAGAGGGTTTCCAAAGCGGAAATCTTCACAGAAGCAGACAGCTACATCTTCCTCCCCGGGAGAAGTTGGTTGAAACCTTTTGATTAACGGCACAGCTTAACTATGGCCCCACCGGGGATCCTTAGTGGTCACTTCACGTTGGATGGTTCGGGGCTGGGCAGGGCTCTGTTCTGATGTACGCAGGGTTGCTAGGAGTCAGTGCCAACTCCATGGCACCTCACCACAACCATCCTGGATGGGTTCTTTCGCTGCACTGTGCCCTCACTTACTTACAATAAAGGGAGGGAGATGACAGCGGTCCCCTCTCCAGGGCCGACACCTTAAAACACTCGACTTTGGTGTGGAGAAAGTGGCTCTTGTCCACGGGTTCTACTCTCTGTGATGCTATTGACATGCAGCTAGAGAAGTCTGGGAATCACGTGCTTGAAGGAAACGGAAGAGGCCATGCTGCTTCGTGAAGTAACTCCTCCTCCCCAGCTGTCGTAGGCTCCTGCCCCACCTCCTGCTAAAGTCATGTCCCTGTGACTCCTGAACCAGCCCACCCCTAAGCACCAAGGGACACAGGTTCAGGGCTCATGTGGATACCAGCTCTCTCAGTTCCCCATTTTACAACTGGAATTCTAGAGGCCAAGGAGTTGAGCCCCTGCCAGGGGTCCCCAAGTTTAGTGGAGGGCTGTTCCCCTTTGCCTGGCTCTGCTGTCCTGTTCAAGGGGCCTGGGGGAGAGCTGGATGGAAGGGCTGGCCCAGAGAGACCAGAGGCACTGACGGAACCAGCGCCCATGGGAACCAGCATTGGACATGAAGAAGGCACTGACCTCCATCGTCAAAGAGCCAGTAGATGTCGATGGTTTTCTTGCCCTGCTCTGACTGGAAGATGGTGCTGGCCTGTTCCTCCCGCACCAGGGCCTCGGGGTCCACTGTGGGAGGAAGGGAAGGGCAGTCAGAGTTCCTGTGAGGCAGCTGCCAGTTCTGGAGGTGGGGTGACAGCTGGAACCCCCAGGCCAGGGGTGAACCGCTAACAGCCTGGGATCTCAATCTCCTGCTCCCAGCTTTTGGATCCCAGGATTCTTGCATGCATGGGGTGAGGGGCTTAGAGCCTTGAGGGCCAAACCTCCACAGCCAAGTGTGCTTTTGAAATATCCTTGTGCCTTCAAGGGTGCCCTGGGCTCCTGCAGTGCCAGTCCCCCTACCTTCAAGGGAGCAGGGGAGGGGGATGGAGAGAACACGGTACCCTCAGAGGGGTGGGACGTGGGGGAGGAGTGGAACGTGGGCCCAGAGCATGCTGGGTGAGCTCCCACAGTCCAGACAGGAAACACCCACCACCACTGCGTGGACATGGCCCTGGCAACCTGCAATACAGGCCACACACCCCTGAGCCGAGCCCTGGGGTCTCAGAAGAAGCCTTGTTCCCTTCACTAGGTTCCCCTATGTCCCCAGCCCCAGCAGCCCCAGGTGAGTGGGCTCTGAGCTTCTGGGTAGGGAGGTGACTGACATGTGCCCGACACTGAATGCCTGGCTCCATTGGCTCGAGCTTCTTTGCCGTCCTCTGCCGGGTCAAACATGGGGTTAACTGCAAAAGATGGAAAGGGGTGATTTTTGTTTCCTAGTCTCTTCTAACTTAGGGGTCACCAGCGGGGGAGGGAGAAGTCCTGTCTCCTCAGCTGGCCTCTCAGGCCTGCCTGGCTGGCGGCTACCTCTGGATATCTTCCTGAGCTCTCCCAGGTTTCCTCTTAGAATGCTGCCTCCCGAGGCTGGGAACTGAGCTATCCCCAGCAACAGATGGGCACCTGCTGGTGCCTGCTCTGTGAGTATCAGGTATATCTCTGGCCTGGGTGACAGAGGTAAGTGCGTGCCAGCCCCTGGCTGCCAGACACAGAGCCGAAGCTCTCTCAGCTCCCCGGAAGCTCCCACTTGCTGGTATTTCTTTCCCAGCTCTGAGCAGTGCTAATTTGGAGTCTGCATATTCACAGAGAACGTGAAACCTAAACCCCATCCCGACTTTACGCCCTGCGAAGGGCTTCCAGGCCCAGATGGCCAGGCTCACAGCCTCTGTGTGTATTCTTATCTTGTAGGCTATTTGCATGAATGCTTCTTCCCACTTCCCCCTTTTGTCCCTCATGAGATCATTTCATCACAGATGTTGTTACAAAAACAGGAGCCAAGATTTGGGGAGCATGAGTCCTAGTTGTCTTGTCCCCAGCAGGAAGCCTGACCTTGGTCTTGAACGGTCACTTCCCTTTGCTGGGCCTCAGTCTCCCTCTTTGGAAACCTGATGGTCTCTAAGGGCCCAGCGAGAGCTGATTTTCTAGGTATCTGTTACTTTTTTTCATGTGAACTTATTTCTCCCTCTCTTCTATCACTTTAAAAAGAAATGGATTCTGGGAGCTCTGGTGGCCTACTGGTAAGAAGCTGCACTGCAATCCCAGAGGTGCATGGTTCAAATCCACCAGATGCTCTGCTGGAGAAGGAGGGGCAATCTCCTCTTGCACCAGTCAGATCCAATTTGATGGTACACACACACACACACACACACACACACACACACACACACACACACACACTAAATTTTAAAAAAATAAAATTTTTAAAAAATGGATTCTAGAATTTTCTGGACCCCCCGGTTCTGGTTTTGGACAGGGTGCTGGCGTGGGGTATGCACTCACTATGAGCCTGCATCATCTTCGAGACGTTGAGACCCTCCCGCATCCTCATGACGCACACGCCATAGTTGAAGTCAAAAGCATCGCTGCAAAGAGATGACGTGGGCTCAGGATCCCCTGAGCCCACCCCACACTGGGGGGCGGCCCCAGCTCCTGGAGGATCAGATGTTTACAGCCAGGCCTCCTTCCATCTCCCTTCCTCCTCTCTCTGGTTCTGCTCACTGTCTGTCTATTGAGAAGGCAGGACTGGACCATCTCTTCTTTTCCACTCTGGTCTGGCGCTCTGTGGGTCCTGCACTCAAGGGACACTGAGTCAGGCCTCTTTGAGCTCAGCCCTGCCTGCTTTATATGTGTGGATAATCCTCCCAGCCTTGCCCAGAGATATGGCCATGCGGATCAGTATTTCCATTGTACAGATGCAGAAATCGAGTTTTGGTGAGTCATTGGCCCGTCAAGTAACTAAAGCCACAATTAAAATCTAGAGCTTTTCAATTCCAAGATCAGGCCTTTCTCCATCATTTCACACCTTCTCTTTAATAACTGAGAATGTGAACTCAGTTGACAGGCATGGCCTCAGTCACGGATGCAGCAATATGCTGTCTACATGGAATGTGCAGAGGTCTCCAGACCCCCAAAATATATTTACTGTCTGGTTGACACAGTGCCCCAAAGTCCACCATTGGAGTTTATTCTAATAGGTAAAGTGCATCCTTCTTTGAACTCCTAATTACACATCTCTGAACAGAAACTTTTAGTCTCCAGTATGGTGAGTCTGGGAGCAAAAGAATGAATGTGGAGGCAGAGCTCTCCACTAACTCCTATTGTAATTTTGTTAAAGGCAGTTAAGATTTACTGTTCATGCTCACACCACAAGTAGGTCCTAGGATTGCAACACTCAGTCTCTGGTTCTTAAATACTATGACATGCTGCCTCTGCACTATGTCAGTGTAGAAAGTACTCAGGCCAGCGTGATCCAGACCTTGTACAGCAAGGACTGATAGAGAAAGGCTTTTGACGAACCCTGGAATCTCCAAGGAGTTCAGTCCCCCAATCCCGCTCCCTCCCTTGAGACTTGGTTCTCTCTCCTTTGCCCCATGGCACCACCTCAGCGCTCACAAGATGCATTATCAGCATTTCTGAAAGACGAGAAAATCAGGCAGCACTGGGCCCACATTTCTGCACAGCCATCATTGACTGCCGCAAAGCAGCAGCTGCTTTCTGGCTTTCTCCAATTTACCGCAGTCCTCACCACTCCCTATTGTCCCACACCTGGTCCACTGCTCTCTGTGTAACTTGCTTGACCACTGCCATTCCTATATTCCTGACTCATAGGCTAGGGAAGGGGGCCTTCAGCCTACTGTTTCTTCCTCACTGTTGAACAAGTGAACCCGACTTCTTAAAGCAACCACTCTCCCCTCTCCATTTTCCAAGGCCCTGGAGACCCTGAAACTCAAATCTGCAGATCCCAGCACCTGCCTCCCTGTGCCCGACTCACTGAAGGATGCCGATGTAATCTTCCACCGTTGCTGGGTGAGCCGACTGCCAGTTCTTCTTGAACCCAAGCACGAGGATATTGGGCTTCATTCTTCCAAGACCTGTGGCCTGAGGGGGTAGGGGAACTGTAAGAGGGGCACAGCTGGTGGTCAGCCTGCCCCAAAGGGCTTCTGTTCTGGGACCAGTGGGTTTGCCTCAGCCCTGGCCAATCTCTTCTCCATTCAGTGAGGGCTCAGGAAATACATTCCTCTGCTCGGGGTCCTGCCTCTACCTGAGTATTCTTATTGGCGGGGAGGGGGAGGGGGGGAGCTACAGTCTAACCTCTGCTGTGTAGCTTTGCCCCCCTGAGTTTATGACTGAACCTTAAGTTTCTGCTTCTCCAACAGGTCATTTTTCACCAACAAGATATCAAGCTTTGGATATCAAGCTTTGGACACTTTGGAATAATTTCATCTCTGTTGCTGTTTCTGAGATGCCGTTGAGTGGACTCAACCTCACGGAGACCCATGCACAGCAGACTGAAATTTCCCACTGTCCTCACAATCTCCTGGTGCTGCAGGCCAGTCGCTGCGGCCACTGTGTCAACCCTTCTTGTTGGGGGTCTTCCGCCCTTAGCTGCTGACTTTCTACTATTCCAAACATGATATCCTTTTCTAAAAACAGACCCCTCCTGATAATGTCCAGATTACGTGAGACAAAGCCACACCACCCTGGCTTCTAAGTAGCACACCGCCGTGGAGCCCCCACGTATCTCTCTTTTCCAATTTTGCGAGCTATTTATAGCCATGGAATAGAATCTCTGTATGTTTAGCGCTCAGAATCAACAATGTTGTTATCTCATGCATCGCTTTTTACAGAAATGAGAAAACTGAGCAGCAAAGTTCATAGATCCAGATACAAGTTGTGTTTAAAATTTATAGGCAGTAACGTGGGGAAAAGTTGTGCTGTTTGATAGATCCTTACATGTGCGGACGTCACACAGTCCACATAGGTATGCATCTACCACTACCACAGGTTTTTTGCCACTTTGCTGTCTATAAATTAAAGCAAAAAAAAATATCTAAGTTATTCAGTTCCAGATTTCAAGTTGTCTGGGTCCTGGGTCCTCAGAGGAAGTGCCTGAGTCAGCACATCTGGGGCTGGGGGCGGGGTGGGGAGGCAGGACTGGTGGTGCAGCCATAAAGCACGGCTGTGCACAGACCTGGAGCCAGATTCACAGAGAGCCCAGCCACGTCACACTGCCCCTGTGCTCCACAGAGATTCAAATAGCTGGCGACTTCTAACTAGATCCAGGTGCCTTCTGAGGTGCCTCTGGGTGAACTCAATCCTCGGACCTTTCAGTTCATAGCGGAGTGTGTTTGCACCCCCCAGGGACTCCCGTGGTATCCCAGGACTTCCTGCCTCCCAGGCGGCCACATGCAGTACTAAGTCCTGGGAACCCCGAGCCCACGACACCTGCATGAGGATCTGCACCCCACTGCGGAGGTCCTCGGCGATGACGTCCGAGTAGAAGGCCTTGATCTTCCGCTTGTTGAGCCACTTGGTGTGCCCGTTGGCGATGAGCCGGAGCTCTGGCATCCTCTGCTGGCGGGGCCCCTGCGGGTCCAGTGAACGGTTCAGGGTGGCCTCACCCTCAGCCTCACGACGGGCCCCTTGCCTGCTCTAAAGGCTGCCCCTTGCCTTCAGCAGGGAACAGAGGTGCCTGTTCACGGGGGTGGGGGGAGAAGCGGGGTGGTGGGGGAGAAAGACGGGGATAGTGGGGGAAGGAGAAGCAGGGAAG